CCCCATGGAGCATAGGCCGGGTTCCCCGGCGGGGGCTGCGCGCCGCTCCGGGGCGCTCCAGAGCCCAAGCGGCTCTGCGGTGGGGCTGGGCACAGCTTCCAGGCTCTGCGTCCGGGGGCTCCAGAGGGAAGGAGAGGTCCGTGTGTTTGGGGGCAGTTTGGGGAGCCAAGGCCCGCTGTCCCCGGGCGTGTCCGTGTGACTTTTCTCTCCTTCCTCCAGGGAATGGAAGGCATCAAGGTGTTCCTCCACGAAAGGGAGCTGTGGCTGAAATTCCACGAAGTGGGCACGGAAATGATCATAACCAAGGCTGGAAGGTGAGCCGGCCGCCCCTGCGGAGGGGTCGTGGGGAAATTGTGGGAAGGGGGGGGTGGAGTGAGGAAGAAAAGGTGCCTGGGGCAGAAGGGGAGGGAGGGGAGAGGGGGAGGTTGAGCGAGTGGACTGCATTTTGTCTGCCCCAATTCTTGGAGGCTCGGAGAATTCCTCCAGTGAGCTCCATCGGGGTGGGGGGAACCACCTGGACCGGCCAACAGGTATCTCTTCCAAGTGGGCAATTCTTCCACCTCTTATATAAGGGGAACCAAGAGCTTGGGAGGCTGTGCTATGGGGACGGGTTAGCAATGAGGGGGAGAGAAGGGGGGGGAGCCTGCAAACGGAGGTGCAGCGGGGACTCGGACAGGAGACCCCGTTTCAGACGCGGTCCCTGCGCCACCCGCTGCCCACCCGGCCGACCTTGGAGCGGCTCCAGGGTTCCCCCGGGCGCCCAGGTCCGCGCCGCGGAATGTATTCGCCACCTCCTTCATTGTTTATAGAAAGCAGGCGAAGCCTTTGAAACTGAGCCGGGGCTCGGCCGGGCTCTATATACAGACACCGATAAACACGGCCGTTTCGCCAAGACACTCGCCCTGCGTGCAGTTCCTTTGGAAAGCTCGCTGAGTTGGAGCTTAGAAATGCTCGACTTCGGGGGGCTGGGGGTGGGAGGGACAGTCGTGCGCCTCTGCATCTCGGGCTCCGCGTGCGCCCGTGCGCCGGTGCCC